CATGTTTAGGGGTAGCAGGTCCTGAACGCTGTCAGTGGAAATTTACCAAGAGGAACATGATTGGCTATCAAGAGTGAGGGAATTCTTATAGTGTTCTTGCTAAAACTGGGCTCCCCAGGCCAAGGCCCCGTGGAGGAGAGAGCTCAGGGGAGTCTGACCCACGCTTGCCCAGGGAGACGGTCCTCATCCCCTTCCATGTTTCTCTTGCCTGCTGTCAGCAAACCCCACGTGCAGGATGAGTTTATTCTGAACTGGAGAACAGCATAGGAGGAAGGGTTTCCAGTTCAGAAAACTCTTTATATGTGTCCTTGTCTAACTAGGTGCTTCATCTGGCTTTGGTGGTTTGCTCTGTGTAACCAGGGCCTGGTGAATGAGGGCTTCCAGTGGGAGGTAACCCTGGGTGATGTTTGAGGTGTGGCCTTTGGTGTCAGTACTGGATTTGAACTTGAGTCAGTAGTTAGGGGCCTGTGACCTTGGCCTTGTTATCTGTATTGCTCGTGATAATTTATCTAGAGTGTGCACTTGGTCCCAAACTTCCCAAATGGATTAAACCCACTTGGTGGTATGTTCCTTGAGGTTGCGTTGAGTCATTCACATTCACATAACCTAGGATAGCTCAATAGCCTGAGCAGGGACATGATGGGATGGCAGAGGACTAGTCTTGGTGACATTTGTAGTGTTTGCCCATTGATTTTGTTTTATATTTATTTTTTAGTTGTAGTTGGACACAATACCTTTATTTTACTTATTCATTTGTATGTGGTGCTGAGGATTGAACCCAGGACCTCACACATGCTAGGTGAGTGCTCTACCGCTGAGCTACAACCCTAGCCAATTGCCCATTGATTTTGACTTTGTGTGGTTCAGGTTCTGTACGGATGGGCAGACAAGCGCTCTTTATTCAGAGAGCCTGACTGGTATGTGGTTGGAGCACCTAGGGGGGCCTGTTGCAGAGGAACAGAGGACCCCAGGCCAAGAGTGCAGTGCATGTGGTTATGGGGCTTGCCAGAATTTCATGAGAGAGAGAGAGAGAGAGAGAGAGAGAGAGAGAGAAGCAGATGGTGCAGTGGAACAAGCTATCTTTACTGTTTAGGTTTGTGTATGGGTCACAGTGGTGCCACTCACCAGCTCAATCCTTAGCACCACCTACAAACTCTGAGCCTTAGTTTCCTCTCTTGTCTGAACAGAGTGATACTTGCTCACAGGCTCTTGGGTGGATGGAGTAGGTAGACAGTGTCACCCATGTGCAGGGACCATGGAGGGTGTGATTGAAAATAGCAGAGACACAGGAGCTAGTGTAGCAGGGATCATTCATATATTCTCTATCATCTTTTCACTTTGATAAAAACAAGAATCAATGGATGCTGCGAGATTTTGATTTCAATGCTTTGACTCTGCCAGTGATGATGCAGTAATGTCCATCAGGAAATTGCTGGCCACTGTGAGACGCACTGGCTGCCAAGGGTAATGGAGATGGTGATGTTAGTTTCATGTTTCAACTTCACCCCAGGCTTCAAATTGGTTCCCAGAATAGCATGAGTGTGTGTTTTTTGAGTGTCATTTTCTGTTCAGTGACCCACTGTGTGGCTTTTAACTTAGTGTTAAAGGAATGACAACTTTGTTCATTAAAAAAAAAAAATGATGACAGAGAGAGTCACCATCAAATATTCACCATGTGTCTGTCATTTGGGTATTAATAAGGTACTGTTCCTCACTGAGGAGTGACTAGCTGGTGTATTTGAAGAATTAAGGGTAAACTTGATTTTGTAAAATAACCAAGGTGCTTTTTAGGTGGCTGCTGCATCACTGGGTAATTTTGAACAGTTAAGCTAGTGGGGTCCCCTCTGTTCATAGGTTAACCATTGATTTGAGGACAGTTATCCCTTGGTCCTCAGGGATTGCCTCCAGGGTCCCCTTGGATACCAGAATCTGTGGATGTTCAAATCCCTTATATAAACGTAAATGCTGTGTAAGTAGTTGTCATACTGTACTTTCAGGGAATAATGACAAGAAAAATGTCTGCATGTTCAGTGTAGATGCAGTTCTTCCCCCAAATATACATACGTACGCTGCTAGGGTTCCCCCTAATATATATGTGTGCTAGAACAAATGTACACTCCTTCCTTCCTAATGGGCATTGAGCCCTCTGACCTACATCACCAGCACTTTTTATTTTTTATTCTGAGATAAGGTGTTGCTAAGTTGCCCATGCTGGCCTCAGACTTGCGATCCTCTTGCCTCAGCCTCCTGAGTGGCTGTTCCCCCACATATTGTTGATTTGAGGTTGGGTCCACAGATATGGAACCCTTGGACGTGGAGGACCTGACTGTGTTCTATGTATTCTTTTAAACCCTACCCGTGAGGGGGGAGGTCACTCATCAGGCCTCCCGAGGAGTGAGCCTCTTCAAGACTGTCGCACAAACCAAACTCAGCAGAACGATATGCAAACTGGAGAGCCCAATTGATTGATGAGCCCAATTGATGATACTCATCAGCCGCTGTCCCTGTCATATGGGCTGGGGGAACATTCGCATTCCATAGGGCAAGGTTAGCAACGATGGCCCATGGCCACACACACCTCCTGGTCTTGTTTTTGTTTTTGTGGTTTGAGAGATTGAACCCAAGAGGGCTGTCCACTGCAGCCCAGCTCTTTTTATTTTTATCTTGAGACAATATCTCGCTAAGTTGCTCAGAGCTGACCTTGCACTTGTCATCCTCCTGCCCTGTCTGGCCTCAGGTTCCTGATGTGAGCCACTGTGCCTACTACTCCTTTTTTTAAATAGATAAAGTTCTATTGAAACGCAGTTGTGTCCTTTCATTTTCATACTGAATTGAATTGATTGGCTGCAATAAAGATGGCCCGATTGGAAAAGCCACAAATATTCAGGCTTTCCTATACAGAGAAATGTCGCTGACCCTAGGGAAGGCTGCAAATCCCGGTTACAGCCAGGAGGCTGCTGGGTGAGCTCTGATTGGGTAAGAGCTGCGATGGGCCACCTCAGGGTCCTGTCTCACCCCTCTGGGGCCCTGGAGCCTGGGGACATGCATGTTTTGGCTCTTGTGCCTCACCTCCCTCTTGCTTCCTGGAACATTTGTATATTATGCCTTTTACTGGTCACCTCCCAGCCCTGTTGTGAGCCCTGGCAGGTGATGGGACCTTGGAGGAGCCTTCTCAGGTGCACATCGACAGGTTAGCAGTCCATGGACCTCGTCTCTAATGTGTCATACTGAACTCCTTTCCTCCCAAAAAACAACCAGTGAAGGTGAATCCAGGAGCACCTTGCTCCAGTTCACAGACCTCAGAGCGGAGTCATGGGAACCTGAATTCAGCATAACTTAGGCTTACGGATTGGGAGCAAAGCTCCTGGGTGGGAGACCCCTCGGTGGTGGAGTGGCAGAGCCTTGGCGGGGTGCGGGGCTGGGGCCACGGAGGCCTGGTGCTGCAGGGGCATGCAGGGGCGTCTGGGGGTGCAGTCTTTTAGGCTGGCGGCCTCTGGGTCATGGGGAAACCTGTCAGAAATGCATTCCCAGGCCCTCCCCCAGGCCTGCTGGTCAGAATCTGCATCCTCCCTGATCCCTGGTGAGCTGGGTGCTCGCTCAGGTAGAAAGCCTGGCCCAAGGTGCTCTTAGCTCTTGACACCTTCTCAAGAGCTCCAGGGCTTGACTCCATGCTTGGAGCTCAAGGCACAGATGCTGAGGATGATTACTTCCCTCAGAGATGGCTGCTCGTTCCCAGGGCAGAGGCTTTGTTGCTGTTCTGCTGGGTTCTCAGCTCCTAGAGCGAGCGCTGTCTCACAGAGCCGGGCAGGAGGCTGGCTGAGTGGTGGATGAACGAGTGGCTGAGTGGAGGCTGAGGTCAGCCTCACAGACTCCCTTCTGCCATCAGTTCCCGCTTCTCAAATGCAGTGTCTTCCTTTTATCACAGAGTCCCAGGCTGGCTGGGTTTTTTCTAACAGGAAGGCAGTTAATTTAGAACGACGTAGCTGGGACCTGGGAGAGGTCTGCTCTCGTACTGCAGGGACAAGGCCACATGCCCACCTTTTGTGCTTAAAAATCTTTATTTAAAGTTTTGACATGAGCTGGCATGGTGGTAGTGCCTGTAGTCCCAGCTTCTCAGGAGGCCAAGGCAGGAGGATCGCTTGAGCCCACGAATTCTAGGCCAGGCTGGCCAAGGTAGGGAGACTGTGTTTCAAAAAAAGAAGTTTTGACATTGAAGTGTAAAATAGGGTAGTATTTCATTAAGAGTAAAGCCTAGGAGGCAGAATTATACAGCAGGGGGCTGAGGCTGGAATCTTGAGCAAAAGGGTCTGGTCTCTGGCCACGTTGACTCTTCGTGGACATTGGACAAGTCACTTGCTCTCCACCCCTCCTCCACTAAAGCAACATGAAAATATTTGCCCCACCTGTTTCCTGAAACACACGAATGTGTCCTGCTAAGTCTTCCACAAAGATGTGAATTAATATTTGATTATAGCTTATCTGGATAGTTCACCCATAAAAATAAATTGTCTATCAATGTTGTTGATATTGAACATGTACTGAATGTTTACAGACTTAGTAATATACATTAACTGTTAAAAGAGGCAAATATGAAAAAGATTCGTCTTAACCCCGCCCACCAACCAGAGTCACTGCTATTAAATGGTCTGCATTTTATGCATAATTTATATTACTTGTGTATTCTTTTCTTACAAACCGTTTCCAATATGTGGTCAATGTTTTGCTCACACAATGAATTTTGTTGGTGAATTTTATCTGTTCATTGTTGAGTTGGGACAAAAACTTTAAAAGGTCCCCAAAGTGCTTTCTGGATATTCTGTGGTCATAGAGGTAACTTCCACTCGTAGGGAAGCTGGGGAGAGAGGCGGAAGAAGCCGCGTAGCCCCGAGCAGAAGTGCCATGTCCTCAGCGTCACCATCAGTGTGGTGGCCCAGGGGTCCCGACTTTGCTCCCTTCACTGTGTGGGTCTTGGGTGCTTCATGTCCTTGTCCTTCCTATTGATGGACTTTGCCGCTTGCTTCCAGGTTCCTGCAGGTGAGCGCCAAGAGCAGAATGACTTGGAAGCTTGTGGTGCTGCTCGGCCTGGCCCTGGGCGTCGCTGCTGCTCCTGTGGACGACCCTGAGGATAGCGGCAAGCACTGGGTGGTGATTGTGGCAGGCTCCAATGGCTGGTACAACTACAGGCACCAGGTGGGACGGCAGTGCTGCTGCTTCTGATAAAGATCCTGGGTATTGTTGGTGAAAAGACTTTTTGAAAAGCCATTACATTCCATCAGGTGACGAAGATGTGTGTATTGACCAGGATGTGGGGAGACGGGCACCCTCCTGCATTACGAGTGGGTTTATAAAATGGAGCACCATTAGGAAGACGGTTGGCAGCTCCTTAGAAGTCCCTGTGGGACCCCTTGAGTCTGATGCAAGATGTCTCACTCTGGACCTTAGCGATAATGTTTGGTTATCAGGCCGCCTGGTGCACTGTGGGGTGCCTTGTGCCCTTCACCTCTGCCCACTAGATGCCAGCAACACGTCCACCCCCTGTAATAGCCCAAATGTCTCCAGGCACGTTCAGATGTCCCCAGGAGGCAAAACCCAGGTCAAGCCCCACTGGCCTAAGGCCATTGTTTATAGACAAGAAAACAGGCCTAGAGAGAGGAGGTGATGCCTGAGGCCACACAGCCAGGGAGGCAGACAGGACCCAGGCCAGGGCTCTGGTGCAGGCCCCAGGCCTCTCTGTCCTCTGTACCTCTGCCAGGCTGCTCTCCTGGCTGCTCCTCCTGTCTCTCCTGGCATTTCCACCAGATCAGCCTGTCAGAGAAGAAACCAGGTCTAGTCACTTGTTGAATCCAGCTTCCTGGTGGCAGTGTGACAAGGTGCAGCCCCTTGGGGACAGTCTGGCAGTTCCTCAGAAGGTGAAAAATAGTTGTCTTGTGATCCGTCGACTCCTCCCAAGTCTGTACTGGAGACAAATGACAGCTCATCTACACAGAAACTTGCACCTGAGGGTTTATGTCAGCTGGTTCCCAGCCAAAGCCCGGGGCCGCCATGTCCCTTGGCTGAGGAGTGGTGCGTGCAGGGTGGTGCCCTCGTGTAAGGGGGTGCTCAGACATTCTTCAACATGGACGAGCCTTAAACTCCTTGTGCTAAGTAAAAGAAGCCAGTCACGAGAACACATGTTTTATAGTTCCATTTAAATGAAAGTCCAAGTTAAGGAAGTTAGCAGGGATGGAAGGTAGATTAGTGGTTGCCCAGGACTGGTCACAGAGGGTTAGGAGTGATTGCTAATGGAGAGGTGTCTTTGGGGTGTGTGTGATGGTCATGGAATTGGCTGGTGGTCATGGTGAATACACTAGAGATCACTGAATTGCTGATTTGGAGAGGCCGGCTTCTATCATGTGAACCATACTTCAGTAGAGCCGTTATTTAAAACAATTCAATCTTTTCAGGAACCAGCTGCTTAGACTATGTGGGCATCTGTGTTGTGGGCTGTCTTCTGGATCGCTGTGCCCTATGGTGGTCTTGTGTGAAGCAGGTCTGCTTCCTGTTCCCCACCTTGTAGGCAGGGTCAGCGGTTTGCCCAGCATGGCACAGCTAGCCCATGTGGTTGGACCAGGGTTCAAACCAAGGCTGCAGGCTCTAGAGCAGCCCGGTCCAGCAGGAGAGCCATGTGTGTCGTAAATCGTCCCATTGCCACCTTTAAAAAATATTTTTTAAAACAGGTGAAATTAATTTGAATATCTTGTTTAAACCAGTATGCCCAAACATTAGTGTAATCAACATAAAGACTGGCAACAAAGTACCTTCTGTTCTCTCTTTTGTACCGAGTCACTAGAGCCCAGTGTGCATCATAAGCCTCATGCATCTCATTTTGGACCCAGCACATCAGGAGCCCAATTGCCACGTGTGGCCAGTGGCTGTCGCCTTGGACAACCCAGCTGCAAAGCCTGTGCCCTTGACCACTTGGCCCATCAGTGAGAATTGGGCCGATCCCTCTCCCGACAGTGTCTGTGTTCATATCCACTGAGTGGAGGGGTTGGTTTAGGTGAAGTCATGACTCATTTCTTGAACGGGTTTTGGGTGCTAGCCAAATAGGAAATTTGGCTTGATGAGAAAGATCTGATCTTGGCAGTGCGACCTCTTTTCCTTCCTACCCACAGACCTGACCAGGGAAAGAGCGGCAGCCCCAGCTGTGCCACTCTCCCTCAGGTTCCTGCCTAACCACAAGACCGAGAGACAAGGAAGAGCAGGTCACAGACGGTGGGTGACTGGACTGATTCATCAGCCACGCTGGTTTTTGCACAACCAACTTCTAAAAAAAATATATGGGTTAAACGTTTCGTGGGAGTTACCCAGTTACGCTTTGATCCCAGACTTTTGTTTTTTTGAAGAAGTGTTGCTAGTTTGGGAGTCAGGGGACAAGAAGTCAGGGGACAAGCAGACCGCAGTGTGTCTCCAGCTGCAGAGGATGGTGGCCCTGAGGCTGTGTGGAGGAGATAAACTGTGCTTAGTCAGCGCCATCCCCCCACCCCACAGCCTGTGCCCCTGCCTGGCCACCAACATGTGCTTCCAAACTTTGAAGGCTACAGCAAAGGGGCACGTCAAAGAACTGTTCCCACAGGACTGTTAGAGGGTCGGGCCTTCTGTGCAGCTGGGGCCGCGGGGAGACGCCTTCACACCCGGTCCTTGCAGTGATGCCAAAAAGATTTGAGACGTCACTCAGAGGAACAGGCGTGAGTTCATCAGAAGGAATAGGAAAAGAGAGAGAGAGAGTGGGTCCTCAGAGAGGAGAGGGACGGTGTGCCCCTCCTGCCCTCCAGGAAGTCTCCAGAAAGTCCTGCCCAGGTCCTCCTCTTGACTTTTGACCGACAGCAGGATGCCATCAGACTTTCAAGTCCCCACTGCCATGACAACTGTAAGTCATTTTGGCCCTATCAGCCTTTCGGGGCCTGCACTTGGGTGAGTGTCAGGTCGTGTGCTGAGGAACGTCACTTGTCCTGTGGACTTCAGCCAGGCAGAGCTGCCGGTGAATTGCTTTTTAGAAGCCAGGCACGTGGGGGTCAGCCCGGTGGGCCCGATTTCCAAATTATTCCCTTGCCTCGTGTTCCCCTGCTCATGTCTGTCGACCCCCGTCACAGCCTGAGCAGGTTGAGCTGACGCACCTGCTAGAGGTTTCCATTTCCCTTTTGTCCTGGGAAGAACATGCCAGGCACACAGCGACATCGCCAGCTTTTCTCTGCTCTGGGGGTGGTTTCAACACTACTTTGTCTTGACCAGATCTGATTTTCTCTGTTTCTCCCTTTGAAAGGGTTGACAGAGGGGGCTGATCTCATGGATGCTGGGAGGACACTTGGCGTCCTGTCCCGTGTCTGGGGAGGAAGGAGAGCACCCTGGAAGCCCTGGTCCTGAGAGTGGAGGCCAGACTGAGTGGGCTGTGGGCGGGAGGAGCTGCAGAGGGAGCATCACTAACAGGGAATAGCGCCTCCTGGGGCTGCTCAGGTGCCGGTGCCGACATCCTGCCGTAGGGATGCTGTTCTTACTGCGTGTGTGTCGCGTGCCAGGCCCAGCTCCAGTCACGGGCCATGTATCATCTCATTTAACTCCCAGACAGCGGGAGGGGATAGGTCCTGTTAAATAGACCCACTTTAGGACTGGGAAACTGAGGCACAGAAAGGGTAGGTGACTTGTCTCAGGTCACACGGGTAATCCCGGGTGGAGAGGGATCTGAACCCAGGTGGCTCTACAGCCCATGCTCACAGCCACTCCTTTGGCCGCGAGACACAGGGAGCCTAGGTTAGCTCATCACCTTTTGTTTTAAAATAGTTTCTCTTTTATTTTAAAAAAAAACCCCAACATATTAAGAAAACCAACACATTAAGACTTCTTATAGAAAACTTGGGAAAAATAAAACCAGGTAAGCAAAAGAAGGTGGGTCAGCTGTGCCACTCAGGATCAACGTCTGTGGTGTTGTATTCTGAACGGCTCGAAGGCAGAAGGTCCCTGGGCATGGAAACAGACGTGACCTCTTGTCCCCGTGACGCCCTCCACCTGGAGGCCTGTAGTTTGCAGAGGGTGTGAGGGGGTGGGGTGAGAGGGGACGAGGAATGTGATTCTGGCTGTCAGGTCAGGGGGCCCCAGGCTCAGGCTGAGAAAGGCCAGTTCCTCCCGGTGCCGGTTCTGGGTCAGGAGTCTGTGAGCTGGTCAGGGAGGGACAGGAGGACAACTTCTGGAAGAGAGTCTGGAGGTGGGCGTGAAGGGCAATGGGACTTCCATGAGAGGAGCTGGGAGAAAGGGTGAGTGGCCCACGAGGAGGGAAGAGCATGAACTGAGTGAGAACAGCCATGGCGAAGGGAGCAGCCAGCACATCCGGGTGCTTTGAGTACACCTCACCACAACCCCCGCAGTGATTCGAAGGCCATGGAGTGTGGAGACTCCACAGTTGGCCCATTAAGCAGTTCAGTCCCATTGTCTCAAACCCAGGGCCTTTCCATTTTTCCGCTCTGCCATCGTTGTTGTGATAACCTGTCCTTAGGAAAATCCCCGTGTTCACAAGATGGCTGCAGCAATACCAGGTGTCACATCCAGTCAAAGCAAAACCCTGGTGGAAAAGAGGCCATCTGTGCATCTTGTCTGTCTGTCTCTCCCTTAATCAGCATGAACCTTTCCCTGGAGCTAAAGATGGGCTTTGCCTCACGTCTGCCTGGCCAGAGTGGCGTGACACACCCAGTGTTTACAGCAGTTCCTTCTGAGGGAAAGGGAATTCCAGTTCTGACTCAGGGAAGCTCCTGACCCGATAGGAAGGAAGAAGATGACCAGAGGGAAGCGAGATCAGCACAAGGTCAGATAGACAGGAATGGGGAGCCAGGGAGGAGGCTGGAAAGCTCCAGTGAGGACAGGCGAGGAGTGAGGAGGGGGAGGACCAGTTCTCCCTCTGACTTAGAGCCAGACAGGGAAGCCAGGTGGCCCCAGCATCGTGAGACCGAGAGTGAGGACAGTGTGCCCCTGGCAAGCCCCTTCCCCCTCAGGGCCTCAGCCTGGGGCTCTGCACACGTTTCTCTCAGAGGACCAGATCGTCAATATTACGCTTTGTGCAGTGGGAGGCAAAATCGAGGGTG